CATCCATGCGTCACGCACACTTCCTCGGCACGAGGTGGGAGCTGAAACCGCCTCGCGCAAAGTCGCATTCTAGCCCGTGGCCGGAGACCCATGAAGCCCACGACCCCTATCTTGTCCCGCCACCTGTCGGCAGTCAGCACCGCCGGTCATCGGGCCAGCCATGTGAGCCCACAAACTCGTCCTCGTCGTCGACTGCCTTGTACCACAACGGGTTGCCGGTTGTAGTAGTTCCAGTTTTCGCTTACAGCTTTCTCGTCACTTGTTGCAGTCGTTTATCGTCACCGGCCACAATTTCACCGTCACTGATTGCAACATATTTGTCCGTCGGTCGTGGCTTTCTTGTTGTCAGTGGCAGCATCAACGAAATACTGATTTTTTAAAATAAATCAATTTTCTTTTTTGCATGAAAGATGTTTTAAGTGTGTGAGGTGCGTCCTAAATCTCAAAGCATTTGGACATGTGAGTAACTCTCAGAAAAAAACTGGTCCAAACAATGCACAAACAATAAACTTTTCCATTGACTCTAAATTTGTCTTGTTTGCTGAGAGCTACTCACATTCAAAAGCCCTGAAATTTGGCACGGACACCACGCACTCAAATATTTTTTTTTAAATTTAATTAGTATTATTTTTAAGGATTTGTTGTTCACTCCAGGAATCATCTGAGCCCGGGAGCCAAAACGCCGCTCCTATTCATCGCCTCTTTTTTCCAGATCAGAGTCCTCGCCATTTTTATCAAAAAAAAAGAGTCCTCTCCATTTTATTCATACCTTGTCTTGAAGACTGGAACCTTTTTTCTTCCGAGGTCCCAACTAAAGTAGAGTATCAAAAATTCCCTGACAGTAGGTGGTATAGCACATGGGATATGGGATATGTGTGCTAATCAAGAAAATTCTCTTAGTTGCTGCCAGTGTTTATAAGATAATCAAGAGAATTACCATCGGGGCGATTGATCGCCTCAGCCACCTCAGCCACGTTCGCCCCACGCAGGGCGAGTACTAACGGCCACGCAATAATAGCCGTTGCTAATCCAAGACTTGGCACGACCCTATTCTACTGGCCAACACGCCACCCCTTTCCCCGAAATTTAAGACTGGTCACAATGGGGAGGAACTTAGGAGTAACATCACACACTCCAATACAACTTTGCTTATGTGGCACATATTTAATGAAGAGAGAGGTGCTTGTGGTAACTAGCTAAGTTACCGGAACATCACACACTCCAAGAAACAATGAGTCTATAACCTAATAAATACATCTTTGCATGACACTACATAGATGTTCCTACCCACTATGGAGGTAGTAACATAGTCTAGGGAAGTGTGTAAGTTACTAGCTTATGTTCTTGCCCATTGTGACCAACCTAAATAAAATAAGCAAAGCACGGCGGGGGCGGATGCACGGGATCCCTCCGCGGAACGGCCACCGGGCGCCACGGCCGCACGGCGTACGCGCGCGCGGGTGGCTCGGATCCTCTGTACTACGGCGGAACCAGCTGTGGCCCGTGCCGTTGCGGCTTATTTTGTGCGACCGTGTTGCCATCGATATGCCCGGGAGGTGGGGTCCGAGGGATGGACGGACGGTCGCGGGGGGCCGGTCTTCTCCGCCCAGCCCAGTCCACCCGGCGCGACCGTCCGCTCTGCGCGTCGGCTTGTGCCGCCGTTTCCTTCTCGGCCAGACCACCAGAGCGTTCCTAGAGCAACCAACAACATCTCCTTTACGGAGGGGTGTTTGGGGATGGATACAAGAACGGTGTTCGGCATCTTCACGCAAAGGGAACCCAATGATGCAAATCAGGCGACCACGATCTATCGGTTCCAAGCAGAGCAAATGCTCCTAGACACCAACAAAATAAGATTTGAGCTTTGTTGCCCTTTCAAGACATCGTCGGCGCTGCCCTTGTTCAAAATAATTTCTTGTTCCCCTAAAAAAAATCTTGTTGAAGTTGTTTGCCATGTTCTTATGCAAAAGGAACAAAGCAAAAGAACAATGAATGATAATGTGCATACGTATTCCTTTGCACACCTTTCCAACTCGCCTCGAGTAAGGGTTTGCCATGCCATGCGTTTTTTTTCAAGCACATATCTATACCAATATAAAAAGACTCAAAGGAGCAAATCCAATTAATCTTAGCCATTAAATCATGTCAATCTAACGACCAAGACTGCTTCAGTGTCGAGCACTCAACATGTTTAGCGTGCGGTTAATTTCATGGCAAATATAGTTCACATAATAACACGCAAATAATATCCTACTTAATATCCGCATGCACTTAATATTTTTTTTAAATTAACGTGCATTGCACGTACACATTGACTAGTACAAAGAAGTGGCAAAACAAAACGAAGGCACTTGTCCCCTTCGCGTGGCACAGAAGTGCTCCACCCGCTAGGGTATCTTGTGCCTCTCGCTGGTGCCAGTGCCGATGCCGGTCTGCCTTGTCTCCTGTTGCCTTAGGGTCATGAAGGCGCGGTGGATCTCGGCCTTTACTATCGGGAGGTCTTTGTTTTTAGATGTTTTTTTATAGTTTTATTAGGGTTTGTGTTCTGCTTTAAACATTGAGGCGGTGGCGGCTCTTCGAAGATGAATAAGGTTCTCCCCGCTTAGCCCCCGTCCCGGTGGTGCTTCTAGCGTCATCGAAGGGCGTGTGCAGATTTATCTCCAGCGGATCTCGCCGGATTCGATCGACGTTTGCCTTTGGCACATGGATCCAATCTTCGTTCGTCTGTGTTTGTGTGTTTATAAGTTGGATCCTTTCGATCTACGCTTCTTTTCATCAGCGGTGGTTGCTGTTCCGGTGCGCCGACCCTATAGGGTCTTAGCACAACGACTTCTTGACTGTTTATTACAACAAGGTTTGCCCGACTCTGGTGAGAAAGGAGCATGATGGTAGCGCGCCTTCGGCTCGCTTCAGTGCTTGTAGTCGTCGTTAGGTGATCTATATACCTAGATGTATTTTTTTTACTTCTAATATTCTTTGTACTGTCTAAACAATTGATGAATGCATCAAAAAATTTCCGGCAAAAAAGATGCAAAGGAGTGCCTTTTATTTTTGCGGAAGCATTGAGTTTACATTTACAGCTATTTTTGGTTTTTTTAACACTATAGCTATCTTTGTTGATCATTCGTGGTTAAAGTCTCAAAAGTACAACATAAAAGAATGCCACGTGGCCCATATATCTAAATAAAAATAGTGACCGTCAGGTCACGAACAGTTTTTCTTCGCCCCACATGCGACTCCATGTGTATATCCACGTCTAGGGTTCCATGCCTCCTGTTGGCACTTTTGTCGATCTGCCTCATCCTCTATGGCCTTAGAGTTTGTATTCTGCTCACGAAAGCGAGGTGGTGGCAGCTTCTTAGAGATAGAATAAAGTTCTTTCGCCTAGCCCCTGTCCTGGCGGTACGTCTCGGGTCGATGGAGGGCGTGTGAAGGTGGTTTTTTGGCGGATCTTACGTGATTAGACGTGTGTTTGTCTTCGGTAGGTCTATGTGGATTTGGTTTTCATTCCTCTGCGTTTTTGTGTTTACAGGTTGAATCTTTTCGAATTGTGCTTCTTTCATCGACCATGGACATTGCTCTGGTGCGCTAGCCCAACGACTTCTCGATTGTCTATTATAACAAGGTTTGCCTGACTCGGGTGAGGGACAGTGGTGCACCTTCAACTTGCTCCGGTGATTATAATCATCGCTAGGTGGGCTATGTACATGGATGCATTTTTTGGTTACTTTTGATGTTCTTTGTACCAGCATGATGTTTGATGATCAAATCATTTTTTTGTAAAAAAATAATAACCGCCGAACAAAATGAATCCCCTCTACCTATCGTACTCCCTCCGTTTTTTTGTGAAAATATCAGACCTATTATAATCAGCAGAAGTACAAAGCATCCTAAACATAATAAAAATTACATCAAGATCCATGGACAACCGGATGACCATTTTCGCCACCAGAACAAGCGGCCCACGCGTCGCTGTCCGGCCTGACCTTGACGATGACAGTCGAAAAGCCTTCGTGCACGTGCCCCAAAGGACTAGTGTTGGGTAGCCGCAATCATCGCCATTTGAATCCTTGAATCGATCTGAAGAATCTGACACCAAATCTCGCTGTTGCATACGCACAACGAGAAACCCTAACCTCGCCGCTCCTAGGAGCTGGCAGGAATCTAGACAAGAGCTCTGTCTAATCCATCCCGATGAACGAACTTGAGGAGGATCGGAGCCTGAAAGACTGACATGAAGAAGAAGCGCCACCATCCGTCCGAGCGCCGCTCTTGTGAGAATTAAAACTCTATCTATCTAAGCCGAGGCACTAGGAATACCCTCCCTGTCACCGGCGAATCCACATACTCGTCGACATAGATCGGAGGGAAGAAGACTTTCCCTAGTCATCTTGCGAGAGGAGAAAGAAAAACTTGGCTATTGGGTCTAAGAACCCTCGACAGAATCACGTGCCCGTCCGTTTCTTCACATATTAGCTTTTGACGTAAATATGAATTTATAAAGTTTGACCAAATTTATTCTTTTTTTTTTCTAAATTTCACTATAAAAATATATATGGTATGAAGGTTAAAAAACAAATATATACGGTACGCAAATATATTGAAAGATGATTCTAATGAATTGATTTGGTATTGTGGATGTTAATAATGTTTTGCATAAATTTGGTCAAAATTTTAAAAGTTTGACTCAAGACAAATTTAATATACGAAGTAAATGAAAACGGACGTTAGCATGCATTTTACGGTGCGAACGATGGGGTGCCCATACGCCCGCGGAGGCGAAAGCAACCCCAGAACAACCAGCCAGGCAAACCACCCAAGCACGCCGGTAGGACCCAACCCACCAGCGCTGCTGCTCCCACAGTTCCCAGTTTCGCCTCCATTTCAATTTCAACCCCGTCTCCTCTCCATTCACTCGCCACTCCTCGCTGCGCTGTGCAGTTACACCCACCAAACGCACGCACACGAGGGGAGGCAGTGATCGGCGCCGTGGCGGCGAGATGGCGGCGGCGGCGACAATGACGTGGCACGAGGAGCTGGCCACGCTCGTCGGCGACACGGGCGTGCGCCTCCCTGCCGCGGCCGGGGGCGCGGCGCCGGCGCCCAATTCGGCGGCGGCGGTCGGGGGCGGCTGGTACGGGGAGGAGGAGGAGGGGAAGGTGGAGGAGGGGTGGGCGCAGCAGGCCAGGGGGTTCGCCGAGTCCACGGCGGAGATGCTGCGGGAGCTGGGGCTCGGCGTGTGGGACGTCGCCGCGCAGAGCCTCGCCGGCGCCGAGGACAGCGAGCTCGCGCGGCGGCTGCGGCGGCCGGCGGCGGCCGCGGGCAAGCGCCTCAGCTTCATGAACGAGTACCTCCCCGAGGACCGCGACCCCGTCAGGTGCTGGGTCGTCGTTGCCGCCGTCGCATTCGTCGCGCTCCTCGGTAACCGCCGCTGATCTCTCATCCGCCGCTCTTTTCTGCCTCGCGTGCACGTCTCTCTCTACCTCCGGCCGAGCGTGTAGCGCGTGCTGTGTCCTCGCGCATCATGATGTGCGCGTTATGCGCAGTATTTCCTGGTTTGAGGGGATGGATCTAACTGACTAGTAACTCTGGGGGTTCGAACTAGAGTCCTGTGCTGCTTCTTTTTGGCGAGGGTTTGCTTCGGATTACAGAATCAGTCCCACTCGTTCTCTACCGGCTTTTGTTTTTCCGAATGTTGACGAGAAAAGGGTTCCAATGTGGGATCCATGCCTACTGCCTAGTGTGCTTGGGCAAACATTTGTTGACGGGGTAAAAAGCAAAGCAGTACACCATGGGTGGGTGCTGCAACACTTGTGTGCCAAACAGTCTGGACCTGGGTATAGGAGGACTTTTGGGTTGGTCCTGTGCCAGTCTTCCTCTCCAATTTATACCGGACAACTGTTAATGCTCTCTTAAATGATTAGTGAATGAGCTTCCGTTGTTTCTCTAAAAATAATAAATATACGGAAATGATAAATCACGAACGTTTGGATTTTAAGCATGGTAACCCGAATGTTTTTCATGGCAACTTTAGTTCACGCGAGGTTGGCAAACATGGCAATTTTCTGAAAAAAAACCGAACTTGGACAAAGTTGCCATGGAAAAACGTTTGGGGTGATATGATTAAAATCCAAATGTTCGGGATTTATCGGGGCCCTAATAAATATAAAAGTCACCATGGTCTTTTTTAAAATTCTGTTAGGTTTGCCAAGTCAACCTAATGAATAATGTTACGAGCAGTCAATTGTTTTACTATTGTGTGAGCCTTGCTGCTTACTTCGGCTGTATGGGTTCTATTGCTAATTCTAATGGGTTATTGTAGTGTCATGTCTCGGTGCGAACATAAAGCTTCTTGCTTGCTAAGTGGCAGGTGTTGTTCAGTGTCTAAACGTTAGGCATTTTGTTCAATTTTCTAAATTCATGGTGATATCACCATTCTTGTTATCCTGTTAGGCAAGGAACATAAAATTATACTCCCTCATGGTGACTGAAACGCTCTTATATTTCTTTACGGAGGGAGTAATATAGAACATCTATCCACAGTGCCATTGCAAATGCTTATACGTCATTGCACAATCATCTTGTCATTGCACAAGTCACCGGAAGAAGTCTCTTGTATGACGGAAGAAGTCTCTTGTATGAAGTGTTTCAGTCAACAGCGAAATTTTATGTGCATGTAGAATAAACGCACTACTCCTAATTTGATTACTTCATTAGTGACACTATTTCTGTGCAGTATTAGGTGTAGGGGGTGGGGATGATACCCCAGTGGAGCAACCGAAGAAACTTTACATAAGCCCCCCAAATGCTAAAAGATTTCAACTTCCTGATGGACGGCACCTGGCTTACGAAGAAAAAGGAATTTCAGCTGACAGGGCAAGATTTTCACTGGTTGCTCCCCATTCTTTTCTTTCGTCAAGGCTAGCAGGTAAGAACAGCTGTTACATTGCTTCTGGGCCATTGTATTGCGTCATGCTGCTGTTTTTATGCACTGTGCTCCTTTATACGCAGGAATCCCTGGAATCAGCTCATCACTTCTAGAGGAATTTGGGGCACGACTTGTGACCTATGATCTTCCTGGTTTTGGTGAAAGTGATCCTCATCCAGGCCGAAATCTGAATTCTTCTGCATTAGACATGCTTCACTTGGCCGATGCCCTTGGGATTGTGGACAAGTTCTGGGTTGTAGGCTATTCTGGAGGTGGCATGCATGCTTGGAGTGCTCTGCGCTACATTCCTGACCGGGTGGCAGGTAGCCTACACCAGATGCTATTTATGTTCTTTTGGAGTGTTCTATTCATAAGCCTGTCCCATTCCAAATATGTATCCTCCCCTTACTTTGATAAATACTCCCTCCGTCCGGAAATACTTGTCATCTAGATGTATTTTAGCGCCTTGAATAGTCCGACCCCCGAGTCGCTCCCGCGAGCGTCCTCGGGGGAAACCCTAGCCGCCGCCCCTCGTCCCCCCGTCGATCTCTCTCTCCCCGCCGCCACCGCACAGCGCCACCGGGCAAAGACCGGCCGGCGTTGGTGGCGGCGGGGATCTTGCCCCTCTTCTCGCGGTTGGCGTCCGGCGCGGGACGGCGCTGGGCTGGGCGGGGCCTAGCGGCGAGGCGGAGGGCGTGCTGGGTGGCGGCGGCCCTGCCTGGCGGCGGTGCAGCTGCGGCTTGAGGCCTCTCCAACGCGCGGCGGCTGTGGCTTCTCTGGCGGCGGCGCGAGTTCCCGGCGGCGGTTTGGCGGCGTGGCGCGGCGGAGCTCCGGCGATGACTCAGCGGCGGGCTGGAGGGCTAGGCACCGTCCAGTGGTGCTGCCTCCGCGGCGATTGTGGCTTGGGGCCCTGGACCCCGATCCGACCTGGATCTGGTGGTGCCGGGGTCTGGGCCATGGCGGATGGCGAGGCATGGGATTCGTCGGGGCTTGTCGGCCTCTAGGCACCATGGGGGTGCCGGCGGCGACGCGTGCCCGGCGTGGTGAGACTGCTGGACGTGGTGGTCATCTTCTTCCCGAGATGGCCGGCCAGAGGCTTGGTGATCGGATCTCAAGATCCATCATCTTGTCCCGGCTACGAGTAGGGGAGACATGGTTGCCGGTGAAAACCGAGCCAACGGCAGGCGATGGCGGCGTTCTCGCCGTTACCTTGATGAAGGCATCGTCGTGTAACTATTGTCGACCCACTCGTGCTGCTCCAGGGGAAACCCTAGGATCTGGTGTTCCAGATCGGACGATGGCGGCAGTGCGGTGTCGTTTCTCTCTTGGGAGCATCGTTTGCGGAGCAGCGCTGGATGTCAGAGGCAGGAGGTGGAGCGGCTTCGTCTTGCACGGAGCTTCGGTGGTGATGTCAAGTCATGCCTGACCGACAGGTGCTACGCTTTGTCATGCCTGGTCGGCAGGTGCTACGCACGACAGATCTTCCAAGGACTTCAAGCCGTGTCGGCTGGTGATACCTGACAGCATGGCGCTGAGGTGTATCAGTGGCGACCGCGACGTGCTCAGCTGTTTGCGCGCAGGGAGGAGGTGCCGTTTGGCGCCGTGGTGGCGTCGACGATAGCTAGACCGAGCAAGGTTGATGCATCAGTACAGTTCTGAAGATGGAGCGGTGGCAGTTGGCGGCGGCGGCATCTGAGTGCACGCCGGACCGGTGAGACCCATGCCCGGCAGGCGTCCTGGATGGGTTCTCAGGTCTTAGATGTTAGGTTTGGCTGCGATGTCTGTTTGGTATTAGGCCCAGGCTATCTGCGCCCCTTCATCGGCTGGATAGAGGTGCTTAGACGGCGGCTTTAGTCTTACTGTTGTATTACTTTGTAAGGTATTGTGAGAATAATTAATAAAGTGGCCGTATGCATCGCCCAGATGCAGAGGCCGGGGGTCATCCTCCTTTTCTAAAAAAATAAAATAAAAAAATAATAATAAAAAAAGATACATCCCTTTTTGTCCATTTTGATGACAAGTATTTTTGGACGGAGGGAGTAGGTTATAATGCTGATATCACCGTTAGTTGGTTTTATTTTTTGTGATTGTGCCTTCTGAGTGTCTGGTATCGACATCATACTTTCTTATGCTTGTCACTTAATGTTTGTCATAGTTTACATTCAGGCGAGTTTGTTACCAGCACGACTTGAGAAAAAGCAGTATTTCAGACACTCTAAAGCAAATTACCATTCTTTTGATTTGATAAGAATGTAATGGTTACCGAATCAGATGACCAAACATCGTCTAATACTGTCTTCGAGAAAAATCTTGTTTTTTTCATTCGTTAAACAAAACAATGGGATATGCTTCTAATTTAGAGCACCACATGCCTGGTCCTTCTTTGGAATTTAGTTTTGTCAATACATAGTAATGACTATTTTTACTTCCATGTCTATCACTATTCCATCTTAAGCTGTAAAATTATGTTCAGTCAAAATCATTTCTGGGTTATATTCCAAGAACACAGATCTTACATATTTTATTTAAGTATGTGTGATATTTTGCGCTTACTATATAATTCTTGTCGGTGACACGTTGCCGTAAATCCAGGTGCAGCAATGTTCGCCCCTATGGCAAATCCGTATGACTCCAAAATGACCAAGGATGAGAAACGTAAAATTTGGGACAGGTGGTCAACTAAACGGAAACTAATGCACATTTTAGCTCGGAGATTTCCATCACTATTGCGCCTCTTCTATCACAGAAGCTTCCTTTCTGGAAAGCAAGGACAGACTGAGAGTTGGTTATCATTGTCAATGGGAAAGAAGGTATGCTGTAATCAGTGTTTCGTACAATCATTTTTTAGACAAAAGGTTTCGTACAATCTTCAGGTGTAAATCCTTTTTTTTTGGAAATATGGGAATTGGTACCGTTATGTGCCATTATTTGCTGTACTATCCCCGCCCTTATCTATAGGTGAATCAGATGCAGGATTTGTAGTGGGGTATCTTGTAGACATGGAAAATCACATTTTATTGTAGTGGGGTACCTCAGACGATGATACAAGAGTAGGCCATGTGTTGTAGTTAGGAAAAGAGAAACCTGTGAATCTGTGATCTATGTATATAGGAAAATATGACATCACATTTGAATAAAATTGCAACTCAACACTCCTTATCTAACCTACATAAGACCCTATAGATATAGCATTTTTAGCTTTAGTTCTTGAGTGAATTAACATATAATTACTGCTAGTGGCATCGGTTTGTCATGCCTGCACTGCAATGCCCTCTGAATCACATTATTTTGTCCTTGTCATACCGTAATTGCAGCATCAGTTCCACAAAGGGTAGCAGCATTCTCACCATGGTTTTGCTGCATGGAAGTACTAGTAACTGATTCATTTGATGCTGTTTATGCCACCTTAGAATCATTAAGTCCAGGCCATTTGTGTGACAAAGCCTGAAACTAGTACTGATTTTACAAGCTTGAGCATTCATCCTTTTTCATGCCAAATACTAATCCTTTATGCATTACTCAGGACAAAACCTTACTGGAAGCTCCTATGTTCAACGCATTCTGGGAAAAGGATGTTGCAGAGTCTGTGCGCCAGGGAGATGCGCAACCATTTGTAGAGGAAGCTGTGCTGCAAGTATCTGATTGGGGATTCAGTTTGTCAGACATTCAAATGCAGAAGAAAGAGGATCAGGGAGTATTTGAATTTATCAAGTCTCTGTTCAGTCAGGCTGAACGAGAGTGGGTGGGATTTCTGGGCCCAATCCACATCTGGCAGGTTTGCACTCTCTTTGCTACAAATAATTGTTGATTTCGAATCGAGTTGGCATGTTCGTGCACAGTTGTAGTTTATTCCAACCATATGGATATTTCAGCTTGATTTCTATTTGAATGAAACACACTAGTTTTGCCATGTACACTAACGCATGTCAGAGTTCGGTGTAGGGAGGTCAGGTGAATCAAATGACAGTATAATTGATAAATGTGCATTATTATATACTTCCTCTGTAAACTATTATAAGAGCATTTACATCACTAAATTAGTGATCTAAACGCTCTTATATTAGTTTACGGAGGGAGTAGAAATCATCACTATGTGTCGTCATTGGACATAGTAAACCGCTAGTTGTCCGATATAGTGCTTGATGAGTCACATTCTCCTCAGGCTACATGTTTTGCATCCCCATTTGGCTGAGTTCTTCCTGAAGCACTAAAAGTCCATTCAATCTTTTAACAGGGAATGGATGACCGGGTGGTGCCCCCATCGGCGACCGAGTTTGCCCGGAGGATGGTTCCAGGAGCCACTGTCCACAAGCTTCTGGACGAAGGCCACTTCTCATACTTCTGTTTCTGCGATGAGTGCCACCGTCAGATATTCTCCACCCTGTTTGGCACCCCGCAGGGCCCTCTGAATCCTGCACTGGAATCCAGTGAAGTGGCCCCGGAACCGGTGGAAGAAACAAGCCCTGCATATGACGAAGAAGTTGCAGGGCAGGAGCAGGAAACATCAGGCGTGGCCTGACCATGCTCAGCCTGAGGATCATGAGTATAGATACAAGAGTACAAGAAGACTGTTACTAGTAGGAACCTCAAAGAAAAGATAGGCTTTTCCTTCCTTGCCGCCAGTGGAGAAATGCTGACTGAGTAGAGCGTCGAGTATAAAACGAAGCTCTGGGTCTGGGTCTGGTTGGGGGGCTGCACCGATTGTGCTGGTTCGGTATAATGTACAGGAAAAGTCTTGAAAGGTCTGCGCATGAAATCACCTGCTTGGTGCGCCGCTAGCGTTCTCTCTCGATATTGACGTTCGATTTGGCCTGTGACGACGCGACGCCCTTGCATAGCCTATTCTGCGCATTTGCTTAGTATGCCGTGTAATGGGATGGTTGGTTGTATTGCTCTCTCAGCTATGCAGAAGTAGTCTTTGCTGTGCCAGCCTTACCGATTCCGGAAATCTAGCATTTGCTTCCTCTGTAATGTGTTGCCTTTTCCCATTTTCTGAAATATCCCATAGGTTATTGATCTGGAAAACACTAGACATTACAATGAAAAGGTAACAAGACACAGAACGAGCAGTATTAGATTTACCTCGAAAACAATACCTGCCATCTTCTTCCTTCAATTGCACACCACACGTCGGTGCTTGAAAAAGCACTGCATTAAGTGAAAGACACACCTACTAGGCTTTGAGAACTATTGCCCACTCGCCGCTAGAAACAAAATCTAATAACCGATGAAGAAACGTTAACTGAGGCATCATCCCATGTAGTACAGGTTTGCAATCCTTCACCATAGAAAGGGACCAAAAGACATCAATGAAGAAATCATGCCATGCCACTAAACAACTTGAAAGAAGAAGTCAATGCCGCCGCACCAAGAGACATCTAATAAGTGTTTCACTTGATTGACACACCAATTGTCAATATCTAGAGCGAACCATCAAATCTTTTTTTTTGCGGGGCATTTAATCAACCAGGACTTTACAATCGTTTGAAATAATAATACTAAACTCCTTTGGGGAGTTTGCTAACCAACAAGCAGTGCATTGGTGACTACGAACCATTAGATCTGACAACATCTACAATCACAATCCTTCTTCAACAACGGATTGGACGTCGTCAAGATAGAAAGAGACCCGGTAGACTTTATTCGAATGCGCCATTGCCACCGCTACCTCGCTGATAGCGTCAGGAAATCAGAACCTGGATGAAATACAAACCTATCTGATAATAAAACTAAAGAAAAAGAAGAGGTGATTCTCCACTCATCTGATCACCGACGAACCGCCGAAAAGGAGAAAGCAAGGGGGGTCGAGACGGTGGAGGAGACCTAGGTGGCGGCTAGAGTCGGGAAAAACTTCAGTAGTATGGGTTTTACGTGTATATAAAAACACAGCAAAAAGCGCAACGCACCGTTCTCGCGCGCCCTGGTTTCCCCACCTGGGCCGAAGATCACTAGGCTTGCCCCGGGCCCGTTGTGGCTCGCTCATAAGAGAAAAAAAAAGGGTCAAATAGGCCTGAATGTCTGATACCAGACGAGCCCAGCGACCTGCCTAGCCTGTCTTCCTCAGTTCATCCCGACACGGCGCACGCATAGGAGAACGGACCGGGCGCTGGCGCTAACCCTACCGGACATCTGGATCGGAGCAGAGCGCCGTCCCGAGCGTCGGCGCGCCACCCCCGCGCCGCGGGCACGGTCCCAAGCCACCGAGCAGACCCGTCGACAAGCATGTGTGAACGGTGCGACCGCACACGGCCCCCGAAATCATGGGGGCCCCGATCGGGAGACAAAACCGTGAAAACCAGCTCCTCGATATAAAACCAAAGAAACCAGGAGCGTGGTTGCCTTTTATCTCTGGCAAGGCAGTGTCCGTACTTAACTTCTTCTCCATCTAGCGTCAAAAAAAAAAACTTCTTCTCCATTTTCCTTCACGCCGCAATCAAGAGAACGAAGGCGCCTAGGGTTGCGGCTTCCATCTTGCCACTCCAGCGGCTCATCCCAGCCAGCCACGCCCCATTGACGGCCTCCTCCATTCTTCTCTGCACCGGCCTTGTCCCCGTCTTCCCCGCCCTGTTCCAGCTCCCCTCCTGCCGTGCGCCTTGAACTCCTCGGATCAAACCCAGCTTCCCCTCTGCGTAATCGTCCTGAGTGGTAACTACGGTCTGACTTCCCGTTGCCTGACCAGGTAACCCGATTCCCTCCTCCCTTCTCCCTCCCCCGGTCCTTACTGACCCTTCTTCCCTTGTGTTATTTCTTTCTTCTTATTTTTTTCCTTCAATCATTGTGCAATTCGTGTTTATAGTGAGATTATATATGCTTCCAATGCAGGTTGTGTTTGTGAATAATGATGATTACTTGGTTTGTAGTGTATATTGTTAGTTTATAAGGTGGAATTGAGTTAGTTTGCAAGGTGTTTGTGAGAATGCTTATATGATAAAAAAAAGAACATGTATTCCATAGAAATTTACAGTCAGAACTCTGATAGGTCATAGGATGTGTGATCCGCTAGCCAAAGGAATGCCCGATGCAACCAATCGCCATCGGCATGAAGTCGGGCATTGGAGCAGGGAGCACTCCGCCCTTGTATCCGCTGGCAGCCCGACTTGGATTCAAATAGTTATTCAGTTATATGCTCAAGTTATATTGGTTCTTTAAATTTAAGGGCTCTTTTTTCATTTCGCACCGGGCCCCCAAATTTCTGGAGACGGCCCTGCCACCGAGCAGCGTCCCCGCGCCCGCACGCTACCACCTCGCGCTCGCCTCGTCCTCGGCTGCTCGGCACTTCGGCAGGCACGACCAGGACCGCGCTCGGAGCACGCTGACCGCCGTCCATCGCAACGGCCCGGGTCGCAACAGGCAGCACGCAGGGGCCAACGCCAGTCCACTGGGCCTAGCGTGAGTGTTCCAATTCCTCATTTTCTGAAATTTCCTCATTCGAGAATAGAGGATGATCCTTAATTTTGTTTGATTCATTGTACTAGCATTCAATCGGTAGTAAGAAGTAATTTGTTGACGTATGTTGTTGGTCTGTAGGTGTGAAAAATGAAGAGTTAGTTATTGCTACTAAGAACAATTTGTAGTTTTGTTGTTGCTATTGTAAACTTTCATGTCCATATTGTTGTGCCGCGATATTTTTTCTTGCCTCTGCATACCATTTAGAAAATCTTGGCTCTGCCACTGTGGCCGGAGAATATCTTTTCCGCAGATTATTGCGGGCCTGAACTGTTCTCTGCACAATCCTCGCGTTCAAGATGAGCCCTTAAGGTCTCATGCAAAGCTGGCTGATGGTGAAAATGCCATTCGAGAAGGTTAAAAAAATGCCATTGGAGTGTAGATAAATGTTGGCGATTCGATCGTTGGATTGGCAATGAATGAACCAGATCAAGCTGGACAAGGCACCAAATCCGGCTAAAAGCAGCTTGACTGGTGGAACACCCCCTCTCCCCCGCCCCCCTCCCCCGGCCTAACCCCGTTGCTATCCCAGCCCGACGTCACCGAGTTATCCCTGCCTTTCCTTGCTGACACCTCTGTTTCACCATGCCGTCACCCGAATTTGTCCTGCCAAAGAGAAAGAGAGCTCCGCCTCTAGATCGACGCTGGTGCCCCCGTCCAACCCGCCATCACTGAGCCCCCCCAACCTCGACCTCCAGCTCGCCGCCCAGTCGAATCTCCGCCTTGACAAAAACCACCAGCAGCTGGTTGGTGTTGGCCCACCTAATTTTTGAATGTGAGTAAACATGTATGCAGATCCATTAATGTGTTAAAATGCTTGCTGTATCATAGGAATGTGATCTGAAGATGACAAACCAAAATTGGCCCCATTAATGGATCTAAACAGAGTATCGAATACCGCCTTCATTATCAAGGGGCCAATAAATTGTAACAGAGTACTCTGACGTGTGAACAATCAGATTTTGTATGCCATTCCTTGGAAGCTACTCCCTCCGTCCCATAATATAAGAGGAGCCAGATCCTCTAACATGCTCAAGGAAAGTCACTGAGCTAGAGTGGTGTTTGTGTAAAGAAGAGAAGGAAAGTCAGGGAGCTTATGAAATTGAAATATTTCTTTAAAAAAAAGTGAAATGAATTAAAAATTGAAACGAGTCTTCTAAAATTGAACTTGGAATGTCACAAATTGAAATTGATCTTTTAGAAATTGAAACCTGCCTTTTGAAAATTGAAATAAGCACTGTTCATGGGCTAAGAGTGAAAGAAAGTTAGGTTACTGTAGCTTACCTGAATTCCCTTTGAATGTTCGGATCCAGCTCCAATATAAGAGCGTTTTTGGCGCAAAACTCTAATGTGTCATTGTGAACAATCAGATTTTGTATGCCACTTCTTATATTTATTATATTTTTGATATCAAGCCATTTTTTTATATTGTTATGGGACGGAGGGAGTAATCAGTTGTGTCACGAGCACCAGACTAAATGGGAAGAAAGTTCTTAGAGACTCCGATGCCTGTATTCGGCTGTCAGATCACCTGGCTCGATTTGAAACTTCATGGCACAAACGTTTCGTCCCCAGGGAAAAGCAGAAACCTAGTGGACTCATCTAAAAATAAAAATACCTAGTGGACCAATATGCAAACTGCACTCCTAAAGCTGTATTCCTCCACCTGATGGCCGACGCGATGGCCGCCGCCGCCGCCGGAGAGAGTCCGCCGCTGCAGGCGGACTACTTCTTCGGGAGGCCATGGCCCGATCTCAACGAAGGACTCTCCTACACCGATACGTTCCGCGGCGCCGGTCAGCCTCCCCTTCCTCTCCCCAGCTCTCTTCCTTTTTTTTTTGCGGGGTAGCTCTCTTCCTGTTTTGCTTTTGAACTTCCTCTGATTTATCCACATGCGAGCAGATACGGAAACCACCGCCGCCTTGATCAACTTCTATTCCGAGAACTACAAGAGCTCGGCGCCATTGCCAGGGTACGTATCTGATGCCCAAGCTCACTTGTTGATCTCCGTGGCTTCCTTCTCCTTTTGTATTTGGTTTCTCTGGACTGGAGGCTGGAAGGCCGTGTTGATTT